AATAAAAGAACATTATTATCTAAGACATTTAACTCTGGAGATGAACTGTAACAGAATGAGTGAAATCAAAACCAATGCTTAGCACACCTGGTAAATTCCAGATAATAAATGCTGTAATTTATTGCCATTTAGTGCTAGAATATATTAAGTACAGAAGAAATTTTTAGAAGGCAGGTATGCACTTATTTATTTTAAAATGTATACAAAAAAGTAAAAACACACAGATTTTTTTTTTTAATTTTGTTGGATTTTTTAAAACATTAGCACCAGCAGTTCACTTCCTTATTAAAAATACTTATGGATCTGAAAAAAAAGTTATACATTTGCCCTTGGAAAGCTACAAGATAAAATATAAGGGAAGACAGGCATGAGAGTAAATAAACTACAATTCTGTGATGTCTAAGTGATATATATCACTGTTTCATATTTTAGCACTTTCTTCTCTTTCCAGCCCTCATTTTATTGTTTTATTTTGTATTTCTACAGATTCCAGTTTTCCCTTTCTCAGGCTTTCTCATTAAATAATAATCAGGTCCTTATAGAAAAAACTTTGTTGTTGTCTTCAATTTTTTTCCGAATTCCAGCAAACTGCCCATCCACCCCTCTCTTCCTCTCTCCCTCCCTCCCTCCCTCGCTCCCTACCTCCCTCCTTTCCTTCTGCATCACCTGTGTTTCCTCCCATCCCACTCTTCTCTGTGTAGGTAAAACTTGCAATGCACATTCTGATACTCTCTAGCATAGTTTTCCTGTAGTCTTGTCCAAGTCTGCCACTAGCTACAACGTCCTTCCTATATGAGAAAGTAAACAAACTTTCCTTGTGAAAACTCTTTTGACTCAGTGTAGAACAGTCATCACTGAACTTTCAGGAGAAAAGGGAATAAATATGAGATAAAATACAGCTGTTTTACATAAAGTTCCCAGAGAGGAAGAACTAGCTCAGATACTCTAAATTTGTATCTTAAAGTTTTTCAATACAGAAAATACAGTTCTAGTGTACAAAAAGAAAAACTGCCATTCTGGATTTCCAAGCCAACGAACAGATACTAAGAGATATTAAAAATTAATGACATTGTATCCTCATCCTACATGAGAGTACACAACTCCAGGAAAATAAAGAGTTGCCTATTACCAAGCAAGCCTTTTTAACTATCTGGTAAACCTGAAGGACTTATTTTTAGAAAAACTTAAGAAAATACCAACATAGACCTCAGGCTTTGTAGACATAATTTCTGCTTGATTCACTGAACATGACACTCACTGGCAGAGAAACTATGGAATCCTTTGTTCTCTTCTACCCGAAAAAACATGAGGGACACTACACTACTAGATATATTTTATAATCTCTCATGAAAGAAAGACTAACATACTTATACTTTGTATAGGCAACCTAAACATGCAACTGTTTGGTTTGCTTCTAGACTGCTCTATAAAGGATACAGGTGGACGGAAGTTATAATGTCTTCAGTGGGAGGAACCCACTGCTATCAGATGACTGAGTTTTCAGAATACTTTGCTTCACACACACTTTACACAATGATGAAATTCACTGCGTGCTTCAAAGGTCAGACATTCCAGAGAGGTACTCATAAAATTATGAACTTATAATTAGCAAGTAAGATTGGAATTTATGCTTTGAGTTGCTTAGTATCACATGAGAACCATACAAGCGAGGCAGGAATGGAATCCAAAGGTCTGGCACCACATTGAGCTGTCATAAGCAGAAAGTCCTCACCCTCCTCTCCTTATTACCACTCAATTTACCATGCTCTTCCTATTCTGCAAAAATGAAACAGGCCCTAGAACTGAGATCCTGTAAAGTGCCTTTACTTTTCAGATGTGACTCATGAGCACAGCAGTGATGAACATAATATCGAAGACCAGTGAAAAAGACAGCATGTTACCATCTAATTAAAGACTGTACATTACTCCTAGATTGCCCTTAGCTTCCTCCTTGGCTCCCAGCTGCTCCAGTTCTTCTTCAAAATAAGGCCTGCAAGTAGCTCTACGAACAGCTGAATGGACTGGATTGCTCTCAAAGTACTATTCAGAAGAGACTTTACAAAGATTGGACACTTCTGCAATATGTAATACTCCAAAACTATTTAAAATTTGCCCTGTCAAAATGGTGTACTAGCTTTTATACTCTACTTCGTGACTTTAAACACGTAACCCCAAGTTTGCATTACAGAAAGAATTTTGGTGGGCTGAAATGCAGTTCTCACTTTTTATTTTTCAGATACTTTCAATTAAAAAACATATATGAAGTAATAACTATGTTTTAAGAGTCACATACTTGATCAAATGGTATGTAATGCAGACAGAGTCAGTCTGGTCTAGAGAGGACTAGATTTAAGAAATGTGGAGTGGACATGCCATGACATAGCCTCAGAGAATGGTCCCTGCTCAACTAGTCCCTGTTTCAGCAAACAGTCACAACTACAGAAAACAGTTTAAGATTTCATAGTCATCCATAATTCTGTCATTTCTTGGCTTTTAAATACTTTAAAATTTGATATTCTTTAAAGACAGCTTTTTAAATGTTACAGACACCTAGACAAAATACACATCTTTACAATACAAACATGTTCAGAGATGGACATAAGTTAAATGTGTTGGTGAGAATTTACATTTGCCTAGTGCTTTGACATAAAAGCAATGCTTTGATAGAAAAGTATATCTGTCTCTATGTCACCTAGAGCTTTCCTGAATCAAGACAGAGTATCATATGACCAAATCTTGATCAGTCCATGTGCCACAGGTGAACTACACCAATTAAGAGGCAGGAAAATGTTGATGGCTTTAAATTCGTTGTAATCTGTCCCAAAGTCACTATTTAATTATTCTAGCCACATAGATGAAAAAATTATTTCCATATTAATATATCCTCACACATACTTATTGTCCATTTTTTACTTTCAGCAAGAAATTCTTTAACTGTTTAATAATATGTTATCCTTTGCTGTAGAGCAAAATGTATCTTGTAAAGACAAAGTTCAAGTGAACAGAACTTTAATAACAAACTTCACAGTGAGTCTTACAGAGATAAACAAAGCCGATCAGTGGTTTAATTTCTGAGTTTTCTCAACACTTCATACTTATATTAGCCAAGTTTTTCAGTTACAGTCTCTATCTCTAAAACCTTTGTCTTGCTTTTCTTCTTCCTTGACTCAGCTCCCTTTTAGAATTGTGTCTTCCTTTGGCATATGGTGAAAGGTGTTTCATAAACTAGGGGGAATAGAAGGTACTCATATGGAGAAAGCAGATACAGATTTTTAACATGACTTAGAGCTACAATGAAATATTTGTTCCCTTAGCACAAAGCTCAGTGAAAATAAGTGACCACAGTATATCCTTACACTAAGCTGAAAGAATGGAAAGAAAAGTGCCTGGTTTAGCCACCATAAGCTCCTGAAGAAAATCCTTCCCCCTCCAAAAAGATTCAAATTAATAAATGTATGCAGGTTTTAAGGATTTACAAATATTCCCTTAAAAATTAATTAAGTCAAAATGTTTTAACCTAGACACGTGCCTACTTTTACAGAGCCAATTATTTTTTCCATTGTATACAGTCTAATTTGTGAAATGACAATGACCTGCATAACAAAAGATCCATGGCTAAAATCTTGTCTCTGCCTAAATCAGTGTGAGTGTTCCCATGACTTCAAAAAGTTTGTTAACTCACTGCCACCATGAAATCAGGATTTGGCAGTATGTGTAAGGTTTTGGAATTCAGAACTGCCTTTTGCTATGAGCTAGGCCGTTCCTGTATTCGTATTTCTCCTTTAAAATGTTCTTTTTTTTTTTTACCAGATTCACCATCACTGAACTAACAGTTAAAAAAAGGTGTCACACAGGAATCCAACAAACAAACAATAGAAATATTGGAGGAAGTTGGCACCTTCCTCTATTTTGTTTCAAGACTTTCTCTATTTAGTGGCACAGGAGAGAATTTGTGTATAATCTACGGCTAAGCACACTGCTGCACTTAAACAGAAAACAACTAGTAACAGCCACAGCAGGTTCCAGCAGAAAGATGAGTTCTGAAAATCAGTACCTCGAGTAGCCAGAAATAAAAATCAGAAAAAGACAAATACTTGATCCAAAGGATCTTTAAAAAAAATATGGTGGCTTCCACTTGCTATGGGTAGTGCACAGTGCAGCAGAAAACTGAACTGCTGAGGTGGATTTAAAGCACTCTCCTGTATCTTCTGAAACAGGGGTATGTTGGGGAGATGATGAATTCAGTCTCCCGAGAGAAGAAAGATACTGCTCACACAGCACTTCTACTCACCAGTCCTTGCAGCAGCAATAGTGTTGGCTTTGAAGGAAGCCAACTGTCCTGCTCTCCCAGCCAGAGGTAAAGAATTGCATTGGTGGCCACTAGAGGGAGGATTAGGAATATAGTAAATTGTGGGCAAAAGGCACCCAAGATGAATCACATGGGACAACCTACAAATCCCCCACTGCTGCCAAAGAACAATTCTCAAGGTATTGCTATGGGCTGGGAAGTATAATCCGGTTGCTACCATCTGCTACAGAGGAGCTGCCATTATGTATCCTAAACTCTGGTGGCTGGAGGGTGGAAGGGCTGACTATGATCATGTGAAGCATACCTACAAATGCACAAAGACACATCCCTTTATTTACAACTGTCTTATTTGCCTTCTGGCTTTTATCTCCTTACTTAAAACTTCTGATGTCCTTTATCAAGAAAGCTCCTGTGAAAAGCAAACATACCAGCTTCAAGAAAGTCTCAGAAGACACATCAGCAGAGGGCCACACACTGTGACAAGATACACGGTGTTTAACAAAAATCTGAACATGTTAAATGTACTTGAAAACAATAAAAGATGTTGTGATAACACAAATGTTCTTCCAGTAATTTATGTTTTGAAGCATGTCTGAAAGAAATGTTTTCAATTAGTTGCCTAGATAATTACGCAGTAAAATGTATCTTGCAGTTCAGTTTACCCTGTAGCTTGGCTGCCTGGTGGCCTTACCTCCAGCACAAGTGGCAGAACATTCTGACCAAGGCAGATGATTCCATGCAAAGCCAACTTCATTGTCTCCACTGCCAGTGCGAGAGATGGGAACATTGAATTTATACCTTACACCCAAATTTTGTTCCTGTAGCAGAATCTGTAGTTGAAAACAACTGGTTATACCATTAAAACAGGCAAGCAAAGGGCAACCACAGTAACATTTAATCTAGGCATGTGTTACGTCCTGTGGAAGGGAAAAAAATTAGTAAAGGAATCTGTAATAGTTCTTTTAGGTATTCCCAAAAGAATCTGGGCTAATTTTTAAAACATAGTCAAAAGAAAAGTATTTTTGTCTAACATGAGCTTTGTCTTTTTCTCCCCTTAACACAACTTTATAACTTCTCTCTGTTATCTTTTTTTTTTTCCCCAAACAATTAATGACTTAATGGAAATTAACTTGGCAGCTGAATGCTTCTTTGAGGTCAAAGTTGGTTAAAGACATTACTGTACAAACATACAGCAGTCCTCACTGAAATACTGTGAGGAGCTACCCAGATAGCAGTTATGAAACTAGCCCTGCCCTCGTTTGTACTTCCAATGACTGTAATAATACAATAATTGTAACAGCAACACTGTTGCTGGGGTCATTGTTTTCCCCTAATGGAACAGCCAATAGCATTAGCTTGATGATATTCCTTTAAAAGAATATCAAAACTCTAGCTACGGGTGATACAGATGGAAGTGAAACAATCACCATGGGTTTTTGTCTACCCTCACTGTTGAACTGCACTTCCACATACCACCTATCCAACACTAGCCTTTGACAATATCACACTTTTTCTTTCTGTTCTTAATAATATCATGTTAATTGTGTAACTCATTCTGCATGGACTTTCTAGCTTATCCACACATACAGAAGAAATAACAAGATTCAGGGGTTTTAAAAATGCTGCCTAAAATGTGAATATCCAGGCAACAATCATTCTCTACTCCAAAATACTCATCTGGCTCAAGCAATGACCGAAGTGCAAACCTGGCAAATGACAGAACATACTGGGTAGATGTCATCTTGTTCTTGTACTCCTCCTCAACACAGAAGTGCAACAGTAGGCTCACTATTGCCCACTGCCAGAAACAGGGTATCAAGACCCCGGTCACATCTTCTGTTACATTCTCATATTTTGTACAATCTGTTCAGAGCAATGTATGGCACAGCAACATATTTCAACACAGGTCAAATCATGATACCCTTGCTGTGGTAAGAGTATACTTCACCCTCACACCAGGCTTAACACCACAAACATCTACCAAACTGTCAGGAACTGTCATGCTCTATCTCAACCCTCCCATGTATCAGCAGTATGCAGAGATACAATATATGCCCCATTTACTATTTCAGATACCATTAATCTGAACTACATTTAACAGATGGGGCATCTTCTGTGAAATTTCCTGAGGCTGCTCAGGCTTTATCCCTGTTTAGTCACAGTGTTTGCCAGTTAGTTTTGAAAAGTAAGCAAGCTGTGTTAAAACCCAAATGCAAAGTCCAGTTAGGCAACCTGCACAGTCTTTGAGAACACAACATATTTTTATTTCATTCATGGCCTTGTCTTTACTCAGAACACTAATATATATTTCAAATTTCATAAATATATTAATTATAACTTTACCATGACTATGAGATTTTCTGAAGTGGGGCCTAGTGCTTCCAAAGACTCTGGTTCATCTGTTGGCCTCTTGTAATGGAATGCTGTTCCAGCAACATCAAACTTTCTCGGCCAGTCAATAGTCCAGGCACCATTAATATAGTAGTCATCCTCTTCAGATTTTAAAGCTTAAAAAAAAATACAAGCCACCTAAAAATTGGAAGCAGCATTTATAATGGAGAAGCCATTGCAAATTAATCTACTAATCTGTCAGAAGTATGTGAACTTCAGCTCAGTATCACTGTTCTCTCAAGCAACATAAAGCTTTCTGTTTAGCCCAGGTCAAAATACCCCTCATGCAGTTTGACAACATTGCCTCTGCAATAACCTTCAATATGCAGGCATACTTTGCGGACTTCAACTTGTAGGCGCTATATGGAGCAAAACAGAGCAACTCATGCAACCTGCAGTGTACCTTCAGCTTTAAAACTGAGCCCACGTGCAATGTACGCTGTTCAAAGTAAGACACACATGGGTTTCAAATGTATGATCAATTATCAATCTAATCTCTTGATTAAAAAGTTGAGGCGCAGGATAGGTATGTGCAGAATAGAAAAAAAGAGGGAACGTTGAGTTTGATGTATGGTGTCAATCAGATCTTACTTTGTTGCCTTTGTTCACTGGTTTGGTTTATTTCTCTTCTTAAAGCATAAATCCAAGATATTTCTACAACAAACTCAAATACTAAATACTTAATATGATAAGGTATCTTATTATTCCTAACTTACAGCATGAAAGCATAAAAGTACTACTATACATAAAACATAAATTTCACAGCTAACCAACCAATTAGGCTGGATAAGCATATATTATTCAGAGATTTATAGCTGGTACCGTATCAATCATATCAGGTTAGGTTTCTAACTTTGAAACTGACTTTGTATCTTAAGGTGAATATCCTGTTAATTAGATATTGACTTCTTGAGTTATAACCTCTAATATTCTGTTAAGTAAATACTGACTTATTGAATTAAGGTGAAGATTACCAAGTTATTCAGTTATTCAAATTATATATTTACTTCAAATAAAACACATTCTTAAAGGCAAAATGATGTTTGGAAATACATGATCTAACAGCCAAGTCATTTTTTGTTGAGACAAATAACTTACTTTACTAGATAAGGAACAAACTCACATCACTGCCATAAGGAATAAAACAACTTAGGACCAGTTTTATTCTCAACTACCGCTCTGTGGATAGACGGTTTACCTTATACAGTTAGGGAAAATGTCTCTCAATAATGCTCAAATTTCCTAAACCAGATCAGAGACCATTCATACAAGCTGGTTAGAGAGGCAGTAATATTCCGTTGGTGACAGCCACCTTCAGCAGGGATTAGTAACCATTTCCATCAGCACCATAAGGCCTGAAAAGGAATGCTTTTCCATAGTACAAATCTTAGTCCACTGACCTGCCTGGATTTACTCTGGAAACACTCACGCCCTGTGAGTGAAGAAACTAGCTCTGACACATTCACTTATCAAAGTAATTTAGATTCCTTATTGTCTACATAGGTTTTGTAGTACAAGAAGGATATGGTAAAAAAAATGAGTGGCATTTTCTTGTCAGCATGTTTAGTATCTACTAAGAGAAAACAATGCAGTGAATTCTTTATTTGTATTATTTGAGACATATGAACTACAACAAATGAGACATAAATGAGAACAAAAGTTCTCATACATATTTATATAATTAATAACTCTGAAATTATATACCATCAATTGGACGTATGCTATATACTTAAACTAACATATATCTAGAAGTAATCCATTTCTTACCTGCCTGACTGCCAAAGAAAAATGCATTTGCATTCTCTGTGTAGATTTACCTAATGTCAGCTGTTACGCATAGTTGAAGGCCACACAGTTGTGAACAGTGTTCCAATAATATAATTACATGGAAATGATGACACATAATGCTATTGGCATATGAGACAGAAGGAACATGTTAATGTTCTAATCAAATAATTTGTGAGAATTTGTGAATGCAAGAAGCCCACAAAAAATCAGCACACAACATCCTGTTGCATAAGGGGAACAAAATGGAAGATGCCACCCTGGATCAAGCCATTCAAGAGAAGATAACAGCATTACAAAACACACCACTTTTTCAGAAGCTCTGAAAACAGACAATTTTGTTGTTGCTGTGTTATTTATTGGACAGAGCAGTTTAAAATACTGAACTATTCATGCAGCTGCAGAAACACGCTTTTACTGTCACAACACCCTGAGTGATATTGGGGCAGAAATGATCTACCAGACACAGGGGGAGGGAGGACAGGTGCTGATCAAGCTAACAACTGCCAAATGTCTCTGTGAAGCCTAAATTTGATGCCACAGCTTGCAAAAGAGCTGGATCTTAGTTTAAGGGAACGTGGGGTATTTGCTGCAAGTTAGTTTGAAGGCCTGCTAACTGAAATGAACAAAGAAGAAATTTTGAAGCCAGTGTGACAGTTACAGAGGGAGAGGGGTTTATTTTTAATCTTTTTTTGTATACTTCCAAATGGAGAAACTGATTTCTCAGGCTGTGGTCACATACTTGGCAGCAGTGTACAGAAACCAAAATACAGTAATAAGTGTAAACTGAATCAGTACTCTAATCTGTTTTGTGGCATGGTCACACAAACAGCTGTCCTGGAACAACAGAGGGAACACCACAAGGACAGGAAAGGACCTGTGAAGTTGACAGTGCCACTAAAGAAATGTCCATAAAACAATACCATTGAGGTATGCATTTTGACGTAATAAACTGAGTTTGAACTACCATTGCGCTTTTATAGCTCTTTAAAGGGAGTATACAAATCAGAATACTTCCTCTCCCCAGAAACTGGTCTTCCTAAATTTGCTGTCTAGTCCACACTCACAGAACAACATATCCCATCACAAAATGAAATGGTTCCTGCACCTCAGTGAGATTACCTTTCATTAGGATATGACAACACCTTTGAAAGTTGGACACACAAGAAACTATAGGAGAGGAACCCCTATTTGCATAGTCAGAGATTCTGAGGCATGAAGCCAGGCAGAGAGGAGGAAGCCCAATCAGGAAGCTTCTTGAAACTGTGACAAGCACATATAAAAAGTGCTTATGTACCACTTTGCATTTTCAGATCTGTGGCCAGATTAAATACCAAAGTAATTGTCTGTATTTTTTATTTAATGAAAAAAAAAAAATTTTTCATGCCATTTATACAGATGGTGCTAATCTAAATGCTTTTCCAGGTCGCTTTCCTCTGCTTATAAAGTTGAAGAAAAACAAACTTAACTGTAGTTGCTGTTATCTTCTTTCTTTCTGGTTTTCAGCTGCCCATGGAATAGCTCTTAGCAGAAAATGACCATGATAGGATGCATCCTATGCCTCTCCCCAACACCTCCATTTGAAATGTCAGTACAGGATATTTGAGCAACATTATCTGCAGTGTATTAAGAAATGGGAGAGGGGCCACGGGGAGTGTGATGCTGAAAGAGTAATAAGCACTCTGTTGTTGTGTAGTGGTGTTACTATGCCTGCAGAATGGAGGGAGACTGGTATCTGCTGAATTACAGACAGGTGGGGGCAGGCAGAAAGAAAAGCAGGCATTCAGCAATAAAAGGTTATCACTATAATTATCACACAATCATTATCACTATAATTGATTTAGGAATTAATGTACCCGGGAGGATAACTGACCTTCTAAGTCACACTTGCAGGTATCATAATCCTTCCAACTTGTTACTGTTATATATACAACAACTACGTGAGGTGCAGACTGACTAAAGTAGCCTCCTCAGCTGCCTTCATCCAAAAGAGGTAACAGCTGTTTTTCGGGTTTACCTGTTATCTTGCTGTACAACTAATCAGCTCCCTAATCTATTTTTGACTAAGGAATTGGTATTCTGGCACTACTGTGAACTGACTGTTATGAAATCTGGGTGCAGAGACTTTCAGAAATGCATGTTGTCTTGAGTTTGACAAAGCTAGATTTGTACGTATCTGTATCAAAAAACACAGAAAGAAAATTTAACATAATCTTTAGAAAAAGGGATAAATAATCTGGGAATTTGAATTTAATCTGTGCTTTACAATAGGCTTCCTGAATGGTCTGAGTTAAGCACCTAGTTTTTCTGTACCTCATTTTCCTTACCTATAAAAGAGCAATGGCATCTAGTCCCTACAACATAGCAACACAAAATCACTGCAGAAATAATACACTGAATTGCATTAGGATAAAGAGACAGTACTGTCAGCATTTAAGTGACTATGGTTGTTGATGAATAATCATTCCAAGAATAAAATCCCCCAAGATCAGAGACTTCCCAGATGGAAGACACTCCCTAAGAGTCGGTCAGCAGATTGAGTGCTCTTCAGCCACTTCAGTTTGTCAGAAACTATAACTACAGTGAAGTTGACCTGATTTTGCACTGAGCGGGCAAGGAGGAATCACGTGATGAACTTCATTAGCTCCATCCAAGAGAATATATCCAAACCAGCTGCTGCAAATGTCTGATCCCCACCTAATACTAACAGCTACTGCTTCTACACGTGTATGGTTTCACTAACAAGCAAATGTACCTTCAAACCACAACATACACTCTGGCTTCCTAACAGTCTGTTATTTAACCCATGCTCTTACCAATGTAGTTCTTTGACATTGCCACTTCTCTTATTTCAATGTGAACAGAACCTCTTGGAATTTGAATCACTTCCATATAGCCTAAAAGACAAAGTTAAATTTTATTTGCGATTCTTTACGTTGATCAGTATTAGTAATGAAACTTGTAATTAATAAACTATTTATTACTAAAACTAGTATGAGATAGGGGATTCAAATGTTCTTAAACATCTTCTTTCATCTGATATAAAGGAAAACTTCAGATTTTATACAGGAATTCCAAAGTGATAGCAAGAACTTAACATGTAGACAGGAATTCATTTTTTGAAGTGCTGATAAAGTCTTTGCAACAGTGTACCACAAGTAATCAAGATATAATATGACTTTAGGATCATAAGATAATTCAGGTTGGAGAGGACCTCAAACAGCCATTTAGTCCAACTTCCTGCCACAAGCAGGGGCAGCTAGGAGGAGATCAGACCAAGTTACTCAGTGCTTTATCCTACCAGGTCACAAAAAACTCTGAGGATGGAAACTGTACAACCTTTCTGGGCAATGTGACCCACTGCTGGACTACTGTCCTGGGGAAAAAAGTTCTCCATTTAGTCAGCACATCTTGTTTCAATTTACAGCCATTGTATCTCCTCCCAATACGTGCCCACCACTATAAGGAGCCTGTCTCTCTCTTCTCCACAACCTCCTCATAGATATTAGAAGGCTGATACTATGTCCCCACAAACCTCCTCTTCTCCAGGGTAATTAAGCCTGGATCTCTCAGCCTCTCCCCACAGTGCTTGCTGCTGGCCAAGCATCCAAGACTCCAATAATCTTAGACGTCTCCCACTGAACTGAACTCACTCCAGTGCATCAATCTTTTCCCTGTGTTCAGGAGCACAAAACTGCTAACACTAAGATTACAACACTAATATTGTCTATTTTGAGCTAAGCTTTAAGCTAATTGACCATATACATTTCCTGAGTTGTTATTAAGATGAACTTAAGATTCTATTCTACAATTTCATGTATGACTAAATATCAGATTCTGACATGCACATTCAAAACATACACAACATTACTCTTACTTTACCAATATGAATAAGTAATAATAAAAACCCCACTCTCTTCTTTTTAAGTGCATTAAAGACCACGGGAACTAAGTATTCAGTAAGGAAACATACTGTTGTATTTGACACAAATCCAAGCTAATAGAGAAAAAGGAAACAATGAGGCAAAATGAGTCAAAGTAAATGACCAGCAGCAATGCCACACTGGAAGTCAATGCAGCACTGTTATTTACTGAAGACTCATCTAAAGGCATTGTGCAATAGAATGGGCATACATGTGCATACCTCCTCTGGGCAATGAATCATTGAAGAAACCTTCAATAGCTTCACATGTACTCCCATCTCCTCCACAAACACGGCATCTATCTTCTTTAGCATCAGACCCCAGAATATTATCACAACCTACATGCTGGGAACAGATCAGAACAAATATTTTAACAGGATGACAGTCCTGCACCACAATATACAATTCTTTTGAAGTGCTTCTGTCAAGTTTGAGATGTTCAGTTGTTTTTCTCTCTCCTTTTTTGATAGCTGTTACACTAAGTGGATTATCACTTACTAAAGAAAAAAAAAAGAATAAAAGAATAATCCACATTTTGGGTTTTTTATGAAATCTTGATGAATAAGTACTTTGTATTTCTACTGTGATATTCAGGAACGGATCTCAGTAAATGTAATTTGACAGTTACCAATAAATTATTAGTGATGCTTTTATTTAATATAACAACAGTTGTGTCCCATCTATGTTGCTTTTTTAGATATTTGCTGCGTGTTCCTTCAACATTTATGCATCATAAACAGTAACATTGTTCCCAAAGGCATTTACAGTTTCACAGACCATATTTCCATATCTTCCAGGCAAAACTTGCAATTATTTTCTTAAGTTTGAATGTAAGGTGTAAATTACTTCACTGTAAGAATGAATGCAGAATGAAACTTAGTGAAACCCTGAATTACATGTTGTATTTAGACAGGATTCAAAAGCCTTTGGAAAAAAGATGTGTCTATACCTGATCATAAAAATTATGTTACATTTGTGTTTATCTATCTGAGGAATCTATGTACAGTGAACAGTGATTAACTCCCTATAACTTATTGATGCAACCCTATTACAAAGTTAATGAAAACAGAGACTGCTGGATCCTTATCCTTTGTTTTGTAAATGGGTGATGCACAGGTCATAAGTTAAAATACTTTAAATAATCGACAAAATAGTATTATTCTAACCATTTATGTTTGAAACATCTTAATCACCAATAAGACGGAGGGCAATCTCTGTTACATAGTTTATTCTCAATCTGAAATGCAATCTGACTATCAGTATTAAAGGGTTTCTCAAAGCTACTAAAATTTTCTTAGTGTAAAGCACACCAGAATTCCTTGTGCTTTTTTGTTGTTGCTGTTTGTTTACCAATACATGGCAAATGCTTCTGATCTCATCATGTTATTTAATAGACATATATATTCAGCCCTCAAATTCAGCAAAGTTAAGCATCAGGTTAAACTTTAGCTATGTCAGTGGTTTCAGTGAAATCACATAATTTTTAGAGTCACCAGTATAGTTAAGAGGTCTAGACTTAACTACATAATTAAACAGTTTGCTAAACTGAAGAAGCAGTTTAGCTTCTTTCAGAAGCAAGCACAGACCTCCAATTCTATTCATATTCATGTAATACAGTTCTATAGGAAACATACAAGATAATCAGACTTTTAGTAAATGGCAAATACTTGCATCACTGTACACTGTTTCCTAGAACTACAGAGAAACAGTGACAACTTTCTGTTTCAATTACATTAACAGCAGAAATTTTTGCAACAGGATGAACTCGTTAAGAGAGAAACAGATTAATATGTTCACATTTACTGTTTTTTTTTTGAGCCAGAGTGGTGTTCTAATTGGAATGATGGAACAGGCCTTGGAACAGTGCAAGGAATTTGTTCATCTCCTGTTGCCCTTTCCACCGATTCTTCAACAGAAACCATAAAGCAAGAAAAATGAAGACAAAGTGAAGGATTCTATGAATGTCTGTGAGAAGCTACTGAAACTCAAATTGCCTAATTTATGCAACACCTTTTTTATTTCTGTCTCAGTCTTACTCTTTCATTAACAATTTGACCTGTCAACACTCCAATTTCACATAAGCAGCCAGAAAGCACTGTAATTAAATGTAGCAGATAACAGACAACAACAAAGTAATCCATAAGTACTATATAAAACATGTGTAACCTTGCATTCTCCATTGATACAGATATCCAGTGAATCAGCATTGCACTGAGTCCCATCTATTACTGCAGGAGCACGTTCAGTGTAAAAATTATAACCTTCAGCCAAGCAGTTTAATGCACATGGTTTAACCCCACCTGGACAATAAAAATGAATGAAAAAAAAACAAAAACAAAAACACACAACTAACAGAAATCTTGAAAAGAAAACAATTGCTTAAAAATATATATGCATAAACAGATCTGAAATTTATAATCTCATCTCATACCTGACACATAAAATGTATACACTTTCTTTAACCTCCCTTTACTGATTTCTCTACTTTATACTTCTTCCTTGGAAAAGAAAAATATTATTTTGCAAAGTAAGATATGGCAAAGTTAGCTCCCTCTTTAAAGATTCCATTATGTTAATACATTCCTCATAATTACAACAATAACAATGTAAAACAAAAAGGATACCACTTTGCCACTAAAAAAACCCAAGAATAACAAAAGAATTTAGTGCTATAAATATATAAGGGTATATTTCAAAACCAAGATCAGACTATTTCATTTAGGAATTTAGTCCTATTGAATTACTAGATCTCAGACCACAAGATCGCAATGATCCGTTTTAGGCTTTAAATCTAAAAGAGTAAGAACGAAACCATTCAAGTCAATAAAATACAAAAACAGAAGGGGGAACTTACTCACTGAGGGTTTAGAGAAGGAAGACACAACATAATAGAAGGGCAGCCTACAAACTTTGAACAACAGAAACATAACTAAACAATTAAACTGTCTCAAAACCAAAAAGATATTACAACTCTTTTTCCTGCTGCAAAATACTCTTTTATTGCACAGTGCAATTATTTATAATTCAATTACGGAAGAAGTCTTCAGAGACTTACAAATGCTTTTAGTTCTTCTCCTTTTCCTAATATTCTGACCTCAAGAAAGGAAAACCTATTCTGAGATTTTTTTTTTATGCTGTGCTCATCACTTTAGCATGAAAGGCATTTGCAGATCACCTACAGAATCTCTAATTTTATTGCAACTGCAGGTAGAAAAGGGCTCCATATTTTTAAAGTGGAGTCCCTGCAATGATGCTTACTCCACTCCACAGTAAAACAAAAATCTACTCAAACAGAGATGGCTCTTTTGCAACGTTTTCAGCAACTGATCAAAATACAAGCTTAGCAAACTTAGCTCATTATATTTTAATCAAATATTCTATTTACAAACATTACTGTCTATATAACGTTTGCATGATTTCGTAGACTTCACATATGATAACATTTTTGCAAAGCTAACCATTACCTCCAGTGTAGGGCTTCCAGTTATAATACTTTCCCCGGAAAGGCATGTTGTCAAAATCTGCACATTGCTTTTCTCGAAAATCACGGGCCCCTGAAGGGCATGGCTAAAATAACAAATACAAAAAAGTTCAATTTCTTTCAAATATTAACATAAAAGGAAATGCTTATATGCTTATATTATAAACATAGTCATGATGCAAGAGACTAGGAGGTGGTTCTCTGCTTTATCTTGTGGCTCTGATTCTGAAACTTGAGTTATTGCTTTACAGCTGACGTGCCCATTTTGCAGTCTTAGGCTGGCATGAAGTAACTGTAGTAATTTAAACAAAGGTAAGTGTTAGATAAGAGTTTACATTAAACTGGACCATCAGAATCACAAACTTCATCATCAATCCATCAGACACCTCCTTATAAACACAAATTAAAAACAGCTGAAAAAAAACTAACAGAAAATCATTCTGGTCTAAGCTGTATGCTCTGTTATTCTGTACTAAGCAGTTCTATTCCGAGATGTTATTAGGGCATCAACAGAAAAATTAAAACATTTTCTCAAGAGCTGTATCACCTCTGTTTACTTGTACCCTTAACAAAAGCATTGTGTTATGGCTGAGAATAGGTGTCATGTTTGGCTCTGATCTTTAACAGTCTCTAAGCATGAAGAAATAAAATTGTGAAAATCACCTCAAAATTAGAGAAGCAGAATTCTTTGCTATTTTTCACATCTTTCATCAGAAGGTTCAAAGTAATAATGACAACTGATCTTGAATGCACTCAGAATTCAGACAGCACGCTAAAATTTGTTATAGATGTTTAAGTACCTTCTGAAATTGCAAGCTTCATCAAAGTATTTGAAATACAGATTAAAATAATTTTTAGACTGAAAAAGAAAAGAATATTTGACAGAAATCAGAGCTATTAATAAATATTATGATTTTATGAGCAACAGAAGTCTCACTTTATTGCAGTTTTACTTGTCTCCCTATGTATCTAAGTCAGTTAGCACTGTTCAGGAATCTGAAATGCACTCACATGAAAGGGTCTCTATAAACATGGATGATAAAAACTTACTGCATACTGCAAATATTAACAATAATTATGACTCAGTACACATTAATCAACCTCTTATAGCAGCTAGCCCATGGCAATATGATTCAGCAAATGTAAAATTTTTCTCCCATTTTGAAGCTGTTGTGATAGAAATTAAAAGTGTACATTAGAGAGTATTTAAGTTTTAAATTTTCTCTATAAATCACTCTATTATCTCCTTGTAATTAAAAATAAATTTTTGAATAATATACATTTACTGCTAAAAAAAAAGTAGTGTAACTAGTTTGACTCAGTAATCCTTCAGATGATAACAGGGAGAATTAAAAAACCCTATGAAATAAAACAAGAAGAATTTCTAAAATATTTTCTCATAGTAACACAAAATTATATTTGCTTCTTTGCATCATATCCTCTGTTCAGTAGAGAGGTTAGTCTTGATTCATCTCTAAGCTTGAGTTCAAATCTCTCTGATACTGGTCACTACACCCTACTCTAATCTCACTTACTTAGGTCCTAATTCACATGGCTGGTATTTTACCTGTGCTAAGTTCCCCTTACAAGTTAATGAAATCATCCCTAGTTAATGAAATCTTTTTTCTAAACACTTATATTAGGACAAAACAATGAAATACAAAAATCAGTGAAGAAGGATGAAGACTCTTGGTATTTATACCCTTAAAAAAAAGCCCTCACAATCTGATCTTTGAGCTGTAGCCTTTCTCCTCTTATTTGACAGTGATCTTGGATGTATTTTGAGGCAAAAATATGACTCCATAAAGTGTATGGGTACTGGGGAAAAGTACCCTCAACAGCAAGAGTAAAACTCAACAAGTTTGCTCATAACACAAAACAGGTAGGAGTGGTTGATACGGCAGAGGATTGTGCTGCCATCCAGAGGGACCCTGACAGCCTGGAAAAGTGGGTCCCCAGGAACCTCATGAAGCTCAACAATGAGAAGTGGAAAGTCCTGGATCTGGGGAGGAATAACTTCATGCCCCAGCGCATGCTGGGGGACAGCCACCTGGAAAGGAACTTTGCACAAAAGACTCTGGGGGCCCTGGTGGGCAAGTTCAACATCAGCCAGCAGTGTGCTCTTGTGGCAAAGAAGGCTAATGGTATCCTGGGTTGCAATGGAAGCATCAACTGCAACTGCAGAGAAGTGATCCTTCACCTCTACTCAGCACTGGCAAGGTCACACCTACAGTACTGTGTTCAGATCTGGGCTCCTCAGTACACGACAGACATGGCCATACTGGAAAGAGTCCAACAAAGGGCCAAGAAAGGCCTGAAGTATCTCTCGTATGAGGAAAGGCTGAGAGAGCTGGGACTGTTCAACCTGGAGAAAAGAAGGTGTGTGGGGGACCTCATCAATATGTAGAAACCTTTGAAGGGAGGGTGTAAAGAGGACAGAGCCAGGCTCTTTCCAGCAGTGCCCACTGAGGGGACCAAAAGCAATGGGCACAAATGGAAACACAGGTTCCTCCTGAACATCACAAAACGTTATTTTGAGTGTGACTTGCACAGGCTGCCCAAAGAGGTGGTGGAGTCTCCCTCCCTGAAGATATTCAAAAGCCATCTGGAGATCGTCCTGAGCAACCTGTTTGACATTTAAGCAAGAGGGGCTGCATAAGATAATGTCCAGAGGCACTCTTGTAAGAAAAGTGAACTCTTTCTTTTACCCTATTAAATAATTACTCAGGTTTTTACCACAATTTAAACTGCTAAAACCAGTTTGTATCCTCTCTTCCTCCTGAACACAGTTCTGGCAGTCTGACAAAAAAAACCCAGCTACACACAAGTGTGCATAGCCTGCAGACTCACTGCTGACAGGACAGCAGACAAGGCTGGGGATAGCTGGGAGCAGGTATGTTTCTGCTGGTTTCCTCTACTGAAAGTTCTCTTAAGTTAATTTCACAAACCAACATACTAGTGATAGCAAAGTTTTTACATAACCCATTGTCTTTGACTCTAAAACCACAAATACATCAATCCATAGGCAGATCTGGTTTGCATCGAAATAGATTTCCATTTTAGTGGCTAAACTCTCACAGTGAATTCACACTAGTGACAAGTGCTAGTCCTCATCTCAGGATCTTGCTCTTCATCCAAATCATTAGTTTGAATCCAGCTTTCAGGTGGATTCAGTTATTTTCAGGCAGTCCTTCTGAAGACTGCAGTTGGCAAGTGACAGTCTGAAGCCTGCAACACTCTGTAATCTGAAGCATAAAATGCAACTTGTAAATTTGTTGTTGTTGCATATTTTTATCTTTTTTCATATCTCACCAATGCTGGAAAGGAAGTAAAGCTACAGGCTATAACCCCAAGAAATACATTCAAAATCATGTTTGACAAACCTGACCGCTTTCTATGACAAAGTAATCTGCTCAGTTGATGCAGGGCAGGCAGTGGACATTGTCTACCTGGACTTCTCCAAGGCTTTCACTACAGTTTCCCACAGCGTCCTCCTAGAGAACCTTGTGCGTTAGGGTCTATGTAAGCGGTCTGTGCAGTGGGTGAGGAAGTGGCTGACAGGCCACACCCAGAGGGTGGTGGTAAACAGCTCCTTTTCAAACTGGCAACCTGCCACAAGTGAGGTCCCCCAGGGATTGACACTGAGCCCAGTGTTGTTTAATATCTTCGTAAGTGATCTAGACAATGGGATCAAGTGCACCCTGATGAAGTTTGCCGATGACTCCAAACTGAGTTGGGGAATGGACACTTCAGAAGGAAGAGACTCTGCAGGAAAACCTGTATAGGCTGGAAGAGTGGGCTTACAAGAATCTTAAAATGTTCAACAAAGAAAAATGTAAGGTCTTGGAAAAACATAATCCAAGAGTGCAGCTCAGGATGGGACCTACCTGGCTGGAGAGCAGCTCTGTGGAAAGGGACCTACTCTGCTCAGTGCTTGTCAGGCCACACCTGGAATACTGTGTACACTTTTGTCCTCACTATACAAAAAAAGATGTCGACAGGCTGGAGAGGGTCCAGAGAAGGGACCCAGAAGTGATCAAAGGACTGGGAAGCATGCCATCATCAAACATCTCAAAGAAATCTGTTTACCTTGGAGCCTGAAGTCAGGCAGACTTTTCAGTAATTGAACTCATTTTGTTTCCTATTAACAAAGCGCTATACTAAACCTCAGAGCAGATGAGAAATACAATCGGAAGGGTGACAGCTGAAACTCAAGGACAAAGATGTAGCTCCTCACACTAAAGTATTTTAGAAAAAATACATGTAAAAATATTAAAACTATGAAAATAATGAAAAATATTTGTGAATGTATGCCTAATGGAAGGACTCAATAAAAAAACATTTGCCTACATTCTGTTAGAAGACTAAGAACAAAAATCTTTTAAAGGTATATATATGCATGCATACTTTTATACACATAAATCATTTACAGAACTTGTAAGCTAAACAAGTTTCTTACCACACATAAAAAAATAGGAGGCTTTTACAGTTCTAGAGGTATATCAGTTTAAGCTTCACACCCTACTTAAATGAGACAATGAGTTACTTAATGGAGTAATTACGTGCCTTGCAATTCTATTAGCATTTTGTATTTTGAATAAAAATACCTTGGTTGATTAGAGACTGTGTGATTGGTGGTCACAAATAAGTTACTGACAAGAGTATTCTTTCTACCACCCTTTTACTCCCAGAACTCATTAGCTAATATTTTTTTCTGCTGACCTCAACGTTCCCCTTAGCAGCTGCCTTTTGAATTAAGAAGTCATATATGACTTTGGAAGTGTTTGATAAGAAATAATCCTAGCAGGAGTGTGTGTGCTGTCTCCAAATAATTAAATTGGTGAAAAGAAAGGGCAAGAGAAATAATTCATCTCTGAAAGAAAAATGAAGTCAAAATGAGGGGTTGTTTTTGTTTATGAATAGTATGAGCTTTAGAGAGTGCTATGTTTAAAATTACATATGGCCAATGAATGTTGACACTTCAAAATAAACTTCAACAGAAACGATGTACAAACAACACATTTTTCCTAAAAACAGTGACAGATTTGCATGCTCTTAATGCTTACATTAATCAAACATACCATTCCATTAAAAATGTCAAGCACTAAGGACTGCCATAAATCTTGAAACAAAATCTACTAGTCTCAGCAATTCTTGGTTATGTAGAGCCCTAAATATTACTATAAAAGAAACAGACTACAATCATCAAAACCATTAAGGCAGTAAATTTAAACTTCTCTAAGTACAAATACGTGTATGCACCAGAAAGTTATACCCAAGAAATATGCTAAAAAAATGATTCACAGTCACACTGTAAGAATGGCATGTCCAAATTGCCTGGCTTGAGGTCTGCAGTTGTTCAAGATTTGTTTTTAAGACCTAGACAATGAAATGCAAGGTTTCTTTCCCAGTATCTTTAAAAAATATTGACTGAAATCTGAGTATAGGTAGGAAACAAACATGTTAGAATAGAGGACTATAATTTTAAAAGATTTTCATAAATTGGAGCAGTGGTTTGAAAAAAAGCAATGGATGCAAATTACTACATTTCAGTAGGCACAATCAACTGTGAAAGCAGAAGCTGAGGAATGACCTGCTAAACAGGATCTCTTAAGAAAGTGATTTGGGCATTACAAATCAACACAGACCACTGTCACTCCTGTAAAAAAATTGAACATAATAGTGAAATGAATGAATGGGATTCTATCACTAAGATGACAGACTATGTTCACAGTTACACTTACCTCTGACAGGGCTCAGCTAGAATCCTGTGCAGAGGGTTTGGGCAACACACTTCAAGAAGATGTGTGCTACTGGGATGCTGAAAGCTATTAACACAGAGACTGTCTACTGTAAAAAAAGTCTAAGAAGCAGCATGATAGTAGTCCACAAACACAGGAAAGGCTCCCCGAGAAGGAATATTGTCAGCTCTCTTCTTACTGAGGAATGAGTAAGGGTCTCAAAGAATGGGAAAACATATGCTATATTTTATGAAAACTGTCCTGACTGTAAGGATGATGAATAATTCAAGTGACATCTCCCAGACTGCAAGTGTTTCAAAACAGGTCAGCTGCCTAGCCATCAGTTAAGAACAGTTGAATGACAGCTGATTTTGCCTTTGAGACAGGCCTGAATGGCCTCCTCAGATATCTTCTAGATGTTTCCTCTGTGACCCTGTAACCTTCCCCTCAGTAATAAACAAATAAAGAATAAGGGAAGCAAAACCAATTAAGAAAAAACTGTCTGAAAAGTGTCTGGCAATATAAAATATGTTAAAATATGATAAGAACAAAACAAATCCCAGCAACATTTCAACGGTATCACTAGGAACTATGGTATGGCTGTTAATAATAAAAAAAGCATAAAAAAATTGTAGCTTATTTGTGAGGGAGCAGGATTATGTATTTTGTAACCTTTCTTATTTATATGAGTTACTTTGGCAGATGCTAAATAATATTTATTTGAGATAAACATTTTAAATAAGAATGCCTGGACAATTATCTCATAAGAGGCCTCAAAGAGTTAAAGGAAGAGGGCCAGTGTGCCAGTATGAATTTTTTAACAAATCTTAGACTGTGCATACAAACTGAAACAGCACTTACATAAAAAAAGTTATTATTTGAAAAGGACAAATAGAATATCCAGTTTACAGTTTGCACAATATGAATCACAAATAATAAACAGAAAAGTTGGCAGAAACTTGACTGATACAGGTTCAAAAGAAAGCTAAATAATAATAACAGAAATCAATATTTTGTATAAGAGTAGGTTTTAGCAACTAAAATTTTTTACAGTTCCTGGTTAAATTAAAGGATAATTAAAAGACTTCAATAAGGCACTTAACTTTGCAGTATACAACATCCTGACTGGGAAAAAAAAAAAAAAAAAAAAAAAAAACAGAAACCAACCTGTACTAGTTCAGTAAAACATGCATTAATTTTATTCAATATTGACTGAGAGGTTTCAGCAGATATCAGTAAGGAATCACCACTTAGTTGCTGAATTCACAGGAGAATTCCCTATCAACTATAAGAATAAGAAATACACTCAGTGTTACCCAACATTTTCCATTTGTAAATTGGAATGATGAAAAAGTTTCTGACTTAATAAGTCATTCATTTACAGAAAGACAAACCAAGTGAAAATAAAAGAAGAAGGTAAATTCATTACAGCTGATCATCCAGCAAGCTGGATCCATTTCAATTAAAACTGGAAAAAAACCAGCTAAGCTCAAAGATATGGCAAAAAAATAAGATGGTCACCATTCCAGAACTGTACGTTGTAACTTGGAAGGTTGTATGACTGGAAAAGTTACAGCGCCTGCTGGACAAGCAGTTCAGATTTAGTTTTCCTTACAACGCTGTGGTCAAAAGCCCTAACACACTTCCTGGCTGTGTGAACCCAGTAGCTGTGATTAGCAGTAGGAAAGTAATTTTTAATTTGGAAATTTATAATACTGCCTAATAATGAGAATAACCCCCCCACAGAAATTTGCAGAACTAGTATGTATAGTAGTGAGTAGCAACCATAAACCCAAGGTTTTTTCAAGGAATTAACATATTAACTATTGTATTTTTTTCCTGAAATATACTAAAATATATACAGGTGAAACACTATCTTTTGGTGCAGACTTAGCTGTTGTCATGACCTTCCTTGATTTAAGAAGAAAATTAAGACTAATGTGAAACTAAAATCATATGAAAGCCTGTTCATGTTTGTAGTCCTACTGACTTGGAATCTTAATAGTGAAATCCTTTATTGGTGTACATCTTCTTCTGGTTCAATTTTTAACTTACTCAAATTTGTAATTTAGGTTCACAATTTGGTTTTATACATTTAATCTCTGTAGGAAGACTGTGTAACACATCAGCACTAGAAGCTATAAGGTTATACAAAGAATGAGTGTTTAAAAGTGGGTTGATGAAGGATACTTCCATTTGTGGCACTTAATGTGGTACAGATATGATGTGGAGCTCCAGAAAATTTTAGACTACCCTCTTCTGGAAATGCATAAAGTATATTCATGGAAAGTCATGCCTTGGCTGCCAAAAGTTTCTCATTTTTCTCTAAATGGACCACTGCTGAAAGAAAAGACACTGGCCTAGACCTTTGCTCTGACGTGTAACACTCCTTGTTCACCTTGAATATGGATGCTCAAGTTGAACTCCCATCAGGCCTTAATGCAAAGACACCAACTGGGCATCACATTGAGATAGGGATCCTAACGTTTAGCAGAACACATAAGGTGCCTGTGGTATAGAAGTTCCCTATGGGACCACTGTTTCCCAGTAAAATGCAGAATTCATAGCTTTTCTGAACTAGGAAAAAATCCATGCACGGCTGCTGAATTGTAAACCAGACAAGCTGATTATAGTCTTACACTGGAATAAAATTTACTTACAACAGTATTACAGGAGCGATACCGCTTCCTTTCTCCAAGACAGTATTTGCCTCCACCTGAAGGCCTGGAAAAACATGTTTTATGGATTAGTATATGCATTAGTACAAACACAAGTTCACGAGATATATAAATGAGTTATTAGTACAAGAGATTACAAGTCTAGGAGATACGTATTAAAAAAATAAAAAATAAACATACATGGAAGTTTTAAAGTGAGATTTTAAAATATTTTATTTAAAAGGAACTGTAGCTTTGACTTGAATTGCAGCAGATAGTAAGCAACTGTGCACCTGAAAATCATCACTCACATAGTACTCATCTAGTTTGCACAGATGCCAAGAGAATTGTATTTTGAACATAGCAAAAAGTTGTTGGTTTTCAATTATTCGCTTGCTTTGTAAAGCTAGACTGAGACATGTGTAAACAATTTATGTGAAACTTCCTCTTTTTTAATCATCTCACATTACACTTGAAAACTATGGGCCTGATAAATACTGGAGCCAGTAAAGACTTAATTTTCTAGTTCACGAATCTGACTCTGATTTGAATTAAGCAATATTAAATCTGAGGAAACTCCAAAATAAGCAGGTTAATATTAGTCTGAGTAAGACATTAGCTCTTAAATTCCCAAACTGCTTAAGCACCTTATCTATCTTCTACAGAGGTCAAATAAAGAATTAACATTGACTTAAATGGAAGATTAATCAGCCCTCAGCTCTTCGGCTCCTAACTTGAAAGCAGAAAGGAAAAACACCTGGTGTTTGTTTTATATTAGAGAAATAAGAAAATTTACAATTAACTAAAAAGCAAATCAGTACTATTTTTCACATTACAGATATTTAAGGCAACACTATCCTTGAACCAAAAGAAACTTTTTTTCTAACGCAGACACAATGCCCCAAAACGCATTTGCTTGCTGTAATGTTAAAGATTTAAAATTTAATCACCTTTCAACATACCAACCTATATACTTGGTAAGATGAGTAGTTTAAAAATTTTAGGAAATATCCCATGCTCCAAACATGTTTTTATTTTTATATACTGCTGAAAAAATACTGTAAAAAAACAAACATTATTTTTATATACTGCTGTGAAAAAAAAAATTACTAATTTATTATTCTCTCAGTAGCACAGTATCACATGTTATAGATGCATATGGATAATTTTTGCTTTTGGATCCACTCAGTAAGTAGTGCCATATGCCAGATTTGATAGTTATTGCTAATGATAGGAGGTGAATGAACCACCTTAAGCAGCAGTATCATGACATTACGGTGTCTGTCTTGTAAAGTGGAGGCAAAAGTTGATTTAGAGCCTGGCTTGCAAAACATGAGTACAAGCAACAAAGAACCTAAGTGTACAGACAGTCGAGAAGGTAAGCAAGGAGTGGCAAAAGCCACAGAATAGATTCTCATGAAAGAAGCACAAAGGTTTAATGTTTTCAAGAAACAGTGGACTTAAAAACCAATAATGGTGATGGAAATATCATTATGGGACATGACAAGAACAAGTGTGATAAAACACAGGTGATAAAACTATCCTTCTGCAAAGACCTATAGCTGTGACAAGGTAACAAGAACACAGCAAAAAGCAACAGAAAAAAGCAGAGATTCATTCAGCAAAGAACAGCAATGGAAATACGTAAGCATTCATCATCTGAGAAGCACAGTGACAGAGAGGAGCACTTACCTGACAGACCTTCTTTAGAACAGTGCTCAGGACATTGGAAAGCTGACAGATGACAGGATCAGTACAGACACACACAACACAACAAGGTAAAGTGGAGAAACTGGCCCCTCTTGAGATGAGAGTAGATGGACCAATAAGAAATAGTGGCAAGGAGAGAAGTTGCTGAGTTGTTTAAGAGTTAGTGGGAAGTCACAACTAAGTGTTGGACATGACAACATGTATTGTATGCAACATAATATTAACAAGTATGGTTTATATGTAAGCAGTCGTATGCAAAAGCTTGGAAATAACCACGTAGTTTTTTTAATAAGTAACCGGCAATAGTTATTTTATATCTTAGACAAGCATTTGCAGTAATATGTCTTAAAAAAGAAATCTAAGGCATAATTTAAATATATTTTGCATGAACAGCAAGTTGCAGAAAGAAATCCACTCTGGTTACTGCTAGAAATAAATCCAGCTATCTTTACAGTATATAAGCTACATTAAAAATTTTAAAAGTATGTCTAGGGAACTTCTCCTGTTTAAGTGTTTCTGTCTGCTACTTCGAAGACAAATGTTGGCAAACTAGCAAAACATTTTTACAGATAACATGTGGAACCACAGTTCTGAAAAATTTCCAAATGTGTCTTTTTGTTGGCTCTGGCTTACTTTAGCTACTTACGCTGGACTGTCACAGTGTCTTATGGATGAGGAGACTCCTCCCCCGCAGGTCCTGCTGCACTCTCCCCATATTGACCACGGACCCCAACCCCCATCTATGCTCTGGGGCCAAGTGCCAAAAGGTACGCACTCTCCCTGATAACACCACTGAAAGATTTCACAGAAAAACACAAAATTAGTTTCCAGCCTGACAGACTTATCCAGACAGAAAAATATAAGTGTCAGGCAATGACCAATTATAGGCATTAGCATTCTCTGTATAGATAACAAGACTAATATTTTATTTTTTCTAGCCATGTTTAGACATTGGTGAGGGTGTGTGTGATTTGTTAATTGTCTTCACGAAGTCTTGAATTATAGGTCCCTAGCACACACCAGAAGTTAAAGCAAGCTTAAGAGGAAAGATTTTCTTTTTTCCTTCATATATCCTCCTTAATGTTTCACACTAAAGGAACTGCAAGTTGCTTACATTCTTATAAACACTAAGATTAATTTATACAATAAGTAAGTTTAGCAAAATACCCTCCAGTTAGGATTCATGTAGGGGCTTCATTACACAAAATGAAAATCCCCCCACCAATAGTATTTTTAAGACAGTATTCCCTTACATTTTAAAAAAGAAAGTCTGGATGAGGTTACAATGGAAGAAGAATTTGTTGCAGTACTTCATTTATACTAATACTACAGACATAATAAAAGTAGTGCCAAAGCATTAGACATGGTACAGAAAGTCATATAATAGTGACTGGCCACTTCTTCAGGGACAGAATGAACATGCATACTTCACTCATGCAAACAGTGAAAACTTTGTAATACTGTTACTTATGTCGGACAAATAAAATGACACACAACTCACATACAGTGTTAAAACTAGTTTATCATTTCCTTGGCTATAAATCTTTTAAAACATTCAGAAATAATCCTGGAACCCATAGTCTGATCCACATTTGTCTGGTGGATCGAACTTTGGTGTCTACTGCACCACTGCGAATCTGGAGTAGCTCAGCTGGATAACCTCATCCCATTATTATGGGCTGAGGCGACAGAGCATGGCCTCAGGTCTACTGTGCCCCGACTCTGTACATTTCAATTCCAAAAGGTAGGCATCTACTCTTTAACCCCTGAATTCACCTAACAGACACAGTACTGAACCTTTCCCAAAAGAAACTCAGGTAACTGTGTCTAAAATTGCCATATGAATTTGACAAAAAGCATTGAGACACACACAGAAGACATGGAAACGAAGAAATGAAAACAAAGGCATATCCCTGTCCACCCAGCAGTACTACTGGAAGACTCAATGTTGACTTTATACTAACAGGTACAGCAAAGACAATTTTCTCTTCTCCTCAGTCCAAAGGCTCACCTAAAACCCCCATCCCGGCAAGGTCAGGCATACATAAGCAAATAAATACAGCCATTAACCTTCAGATATA